CAAAGCCAAGTACAGAAACACTGGAAAAGCAAGTCTGAACCCAGCTTAGAACTCAGTCCAACACCAGCCTAAATGCAGTTCAGAGCCGACCCAAAAGCAGTCTAAAAAACACTGGCCAAAACCAGCCTGAAACCAGCCTACATCCAGTTCAGAACCGGTCCAAACACCATTTCAAAACACGAGTCCAAAGCCAACTGCAAAATGATGCAGAAGCCGAGTCTGAACCCAGCCTAAGACCGGTCCAAACATGGTCCAAAACCAAGTCTAAAAGCTGTCCAACACCTAATTCAGAACCACCCAAGAACCAAGTTGATCAAAACAGCCCAAAAACAAAAACAACACGTCGGTGCACGTCCTCCAGAACATCTGCTGTCCGTGTCGGAGCTGAAAACGTTCCGGTCCGACCAAAACCTGCAGGTTCTGTGGGATGTTCTGGACACATCTGGGATTCTGGTACCATGACATGTCCAACAACACCTTCAGGAAACATATTTCCAACATATTTGTTTGGTTATTGAGACGCAGTGACGTACCGATGAGGTTTTAATATAGTCCAACAGAACAACTAGAATTTAAAAGATTCTGGAAGTCCTCTTTGCTCAGTTTGGGTTTAAGTCTCTGCTTTGGGTCGAGCCTTGATGCTTCAATCTCCTGCACGTTAAACGGCCACGTTATCAAACTCCGCTTCGGTTTTCTGTCATAAATCCACGGCTGAGTCCGGTTTGATCAGTCCGGCTCACTTCTGGTTCCTTTTTAGGTAAACAAAGAGCAAAAGCTGTTGCTCTGATTAAATGCTGTTTCATCTCAGGATGTTCTGGAGACATCCAGAGCTGCTGGAGCTCGCTGTTGTGTCACTAAAGTGGTCCAGTTGAGTTCGAAAACTCGTTTTAGGAAGAAAAAAAAGATTCAGTGAAACAGCTAACTGGTGTAAGTTCATCAGCAGGTAACTGGTGGTTCTTTGTGCTCCAGATACCAGGAGCTCTGCACAAAGGAGTGAGCGACAAGCTGGCTGTCCTGGTTCAGGGGAGACAGCCCGACGTCACAGGTAAAGACCAGTGGTCAGCGGGGCGCAGCATCCAGACAGCAGATTGTTCCTCTAGAGGTGTTTGATTTCTCTGACAGCTCAACTCCTGGTTTTGGTCCAGTTCAGAACCAGCTGTTTCAGTGTCTGAAGCTTTAATGTAGCTGAGCTGTTTGTCATCCGTCAAAAATGAGTCAAAAGCTGCCCAACATTTCCTTAAAGTCGTCTCAAAATTAGTGTAAAATAGGTCACAAGTTGTTTAAAATGACATTAAAAGTGTCCAAAATGTTGAAATGACTTTAAAAAATTACTCAGATTTGTCTAAAATGCCTCAAAATGTATCTGCAGTTGTTGTCTTTAGATTTTGACAGCTGGGTGCATGTAAAGAACAAAGTTTTGATTGAAGTTTTTAATAGAACTCATCCATCAAAATTGAGTCAAAATAACATGAAAGTGGTTTGAAATTTCCTTAAAACCGTCTCAGTTGTCTCAAAATTAGTCAAATTATTCAAACCTGTTCAGAATAACTACGAATTGTTTAAAATTACATTAAAAATGTCCAAAAATGTTGAAATGACCTAAAAAAATTCTCAAATTTGTCCAAAATGTCTTGAAATTTGTTCACATTTTTTGTCTTTAGATGTTTGATTGCAGTTATTAACAGAACTCATCCACCAGAACACAGTGCAAATGACCTGAAAGGTGCTTAAATTAAATGACAATTGTCCTACGTTTTTCAAAATGTGTTAAAATTTGACTAAAATCTTTCTGAAATGACGTGAAAATATTCACAGTATTTTGAAACTGCTGAAATGCCAAAGTGACTCAGAACTGATCCAGATTATCTCCCGACTGTGACACCTGGATGGATGTAGAACTGATCTGGTGTCAGGTTCTACCAGAACTCAGATGCGTTTTTCACCCTGAAATAGTTAATTATCAGAAAATGCAGAAAATTTGCCTAGAATCACACAAAAATTCATCCAAAATGACTCGAATGTTAAGCAAGACGACTCAATTTGTCCAAAATGATTAAAAAATTATCCAAAATTGCACCGAGTGACACAAAAATTGATCAAGATAACTCATGATTTGTCTAAAATGACTCATAAATGATCCAAATTGACTGAAAATTTGCTCAGAATGACGTTGAAATGATCTAAAATGACAAAGATTCGACTTAAAATGACTCAATAATTGTCCAAAATGATTTCAGATTTTTCAAAATTACTCAACAGTTGTTAATTCTAGGAAAAAATGTTGCTGAACAGAAACCAGGTCCAGTGTTGAGACTGAGACACCTGGATGGATGTAGAACTGATCTGGTGTCAGGTTCTAGCAGAACCCAGATGTGTTCTTCGTCACAAAGTGGTTAAATTACATTAAAGGTGTCTAAAAATTCATGAAAATTGTCTTAAATTTCTCAAACTTTGTCCAAAATGACAGAAACCTGTTTAAAGTGACTCAAAATGTTCCAAAAGGACACAAAAGTCATCCAGAATTACTCAGATTGGTCCAAATGACTTGAAATTTTCCCTCATTTGTTGTCCTTTGGCTGTGACACCTGGATGGATGTAGACCTGATCTGGCTTTTAAATGAGCTCAAATGTGTTTTTTATTATTCAGAAATTGCTTAAAATTACAAAAAGATGATCCCAAATTACAAAGAAGTGTCCAAAATGACAGAAACTTGTCAAAAATGACTAAATGTTCAAAATGACTCAAAACGACGTGATGATGAAAATCCAGTCTTTACATTAACTCTGTGCTCGGTTCTCCAGGTTCTACGTTCTGCCTGCAGGTTCCCCACCGGGCTCACACTGAGTCCACAAAGAGAACCACCAACCAGGAGCTGTGGAACCTCATCAACAGCATCCACCTGGACTCCAAGATCTCGGCCAAGGAGAGGAAGCGTCTGCTGAGGCAGTTCAACCGAAGCCACCCCGAGATCTTCCAGCAGTACTTTGGAGACGCTGCCGTCGGCCAGCTGTAGCCGGTGGAGCTCCGTCTGGGCCGAGAGGAGCTTCTCACCTCAACCGGCTGCTTCTGGTGACCGGCTGGTTAGTTAGACTGGTGTTAACTAACTAACCAGCTGTTTGTGGTGACCATCTGGTTAGCTAGACTCACTAACTCGGTGACCTGTCGGTGGTCTGTTATACCAGCTGCAGGATGTCTTTGCACATGTTTGCTTTATTATAACAAAATGAAAATAAAGTGCTCATAAACTCGCAGCCGTCGCTTCTGTTAAATGTAGTTTTAGAGAACAACCAAGCTGTACGACATGAGATATACATATATATATATATATAATTATGTTTCACTGGTTGATCAAACTAAAGCTTCTCAGATGTCGCTGGTTTTAACAGCTGGTCCTTTAAAAATAAGAATTTTATTGTTTTAATCTTTAAGAACAAATGGCTGTTGTTTCTTTTGTTTTTTTTGTTCTGACATTTCGACACTAAATAAGTCAAACATTCAAAAAATCAACCTGTCAGGTGTAAACATAGCTCTACCTCCACTAGCTGATCAAAGTTTCCTTTAATTTAATTCGACTGTGATTTCAAAACAAAATTAATTTAATTCTTTAATTTAAAAAAAAAAATTAGTTTACTTACACTTAAGTTAAATTTCTACAATTACTTATTAAATTTGATTGCAATTAAAATAATTGTATTTAATTACTTAGAATCTAATTACAATACAAAATAATNACAAACGTGGTTCTGAGGTCCTACACATGCTCCACAACTCACCACAACGTCCACACACATCAGGACTGGTGGAAAAATGTTTAAAGGAACTGGGCACGTTAATGGCAGAGTGGCTCCACAGCGCCCCCTACAAAGTCTGGTTGAAGCTGTGTTTGAGCCAGAACTATGAACTTGGTGGGCATGTGTAGCGGGTCGGGCAAAGAAGTCCACCAGCGTGATGACCAACAATCGTACGGCGAGGACCCGTTGGTCGGTGAGGTTTGTTTGTCAAAAATGATCTTTTTTCAACATGCGACTGTTAATTAGACATTTTTTTTAAACTACCTTTAAATCAGCAACACATGTAATTATTTGTTGTTAATTGAAAGAAAGATTTTGGGTGTTAAGGATTGAAAAATGGTAAATAAAGTTTAAACTGTTAATGTGCAGATTTAGTGTGTTTTGTTTTTATTTCCTTGAGACGCTCAGTCTGAGATCCGTCTGTGATCAGTTGGTTTACTGAGATGGTTTCATGGTAGAAGATGATTCTGTTTGGGTCCGTCTCATTGTGTTTCCATTATTGTGTCTCTACACTGTCAAGAAAAAAAAAGTTGTTTGTTTGTCTGTTTGTTGTTTTTTTTAACTGTAATTTTGGGATTTGGGACAGAAATGGATCAGAAAGTGTAAAGAATGTTTCCTGTTCTGTAAACTGAAGGAGGTACTAGAAGGAGACTAGTGAAGGAGGCCACCAGGACTCCTATGACTCCTCTGAAGGAGGTACTAGAAGGAGACTAGTGAAGGAGGCCACCAAGACTCCTCTGAAGGACAGAAGTATACACTTTTAATGTTGACAGCCCTAATGCACATTTATGTGATAAATACAGGCTTTATTTTTATTTCTATTCTTTTACAATGATGTGGCGACCCCCTGAAATGATCCCAGTTTGAGAACCACTGGTTTACGTAATGGGATGTTGCAGGAGCAGTGGGAGCGGTGTGTGAGGTCTCCGGTCTAACCCGTCTTCTTCCTCGTCCCGTCCAGACTCTGCTCTCTTTCTTGCTGCCGGGCCACGGCCGTCTGCGCTCTCGTATCGACGAGGTTCTGGACCTGCCTCTGATCCAGCAGCAGGCCGAGAACGGGGCCCTGGACATCGGCCGGCTGTCCCAGTTCATCGTGGGCATGATGGGCTCGCTGTGCGCCCCCTGCAGGGACGAGGACATCAGCAGGCTGAAGGAGATCACCGACATCGTGCCTCTGCTCAAGTAAGGAAGCTGTTGTCAGCTCTGCATGCTCCAGCTCGTAGTTTAGTTTAGTTCCATTACAGAGCAGAAGGCAGCGTGGAGTGACGTTACTGCAGTCGAAGGGTTGGATGAGCAGCTTCCTCCTCCTGATGCAGACTCACTGAGAGCCCAAGTGAACCATCTTCAGAGAGCGAACTGTCCTGATAACCACCTCTGTTCTCCTCCTGCTGCCTCCCTCTCAGGGCCATATTCTCAGTGCTGGACCTGATGAAGGTGGACATGGCGAACTTCGCCCTGAGCAGCATCAGGCCTCATCTGATGCAGCAGTCCGTCGAGTACGAGAGGAACAAGTTCCAGGAGTTTCTGGAGAAGCAGCCCAGTGAGCAATCTGTCTTCCATTAAGTCAGGTTATGTATTATTAATGCTGCAGCGTGGTGCAGTGGACGGGAGTCTGCAGGCTGCACTCATCCTGTAGGCTGCACACTTAGAGGATCAAACAACACAAAGTCAATGAACCACATCTAGAGAAAGTTTCTGCCTGACCGCCTCAGAACATCTGGTTCTGTATCTGCAGCACCTTCATCTACTGACCAGAGTTCTACCTTCAGACTGTGAATGTTCCAGAGGTCCAGGTCCTTGAAGTCCACAGAGGAGGGTCCAGATTGATCACNTTCCTGATCATTACAGTTTAAATACTTTTGATTTAATTAACGGTAGCCGGGTTGCGTGAGTGCGCATGCGGGAGGAGGCTCGGCTGCTACGTCACGTTCACCACGCCCCAAACCCGGAAGCAGCGGCTCGGTTAGCGGCAGCCCGGCGGAGGAGCTGAGGTGTCTGAAGCTCCGGTTCCCGGGATGCAACAAAGCCCTCCTCCGGCTGAAGGCGGTGCGCGGCGGCGGAGAAGCTGCGAATAAATCCGAAGCAGCGCAAACTCCGCTGTTTGTTTGTTTGTTTGTTTGTTTGTGGAGCAGCGGCTGCGTGTCGCCGCTCCTTTGTTGTTGTTGTTGTTTAGCTGAGTCAAGCTAACCGGGCGGAAGCTGAGCTCCGCAGCTAACGGCCGCGTCTCCTCCGGGCTGCCGGTGATAAGGTTAGTACCGCAGGGCAGGGAGGCGGTGGATTTCCCATGAGGCTTTGCTCTGTTTACTTCTGCTAGCCGTTAGCTGTTAGCATCACCGCCCCGCCGCTGTCCGGGTGACGTCATCAGCCAGCAGCACAAAAACAAACCGGTTTGTGCCTCAAATAAAAGTCCTGTCACTTTATACCAGAACCCAACAGAACCACAGCTCTTGTAGGCCATCTAGTACACAATTCTGAATATTTTGCTCATTCAGAAACCCTGTGTAATATCCGTTTTTCTGAATATATAAATATACCACCTGTTCTACTTACAGATAATATTTCTATCTATACAATAATTTGTGCAGAACCACTGATGCCACCAGCTCCTCAAGTGCTGCTGCTCTACAGGTCACACAAGAGAAATAAATGTCACTGTGTTAGCTTGGAGTCAGACAGTTTTTTGTTTTTAGATGTTAAAAAATCAGTGCATCAGAAGTATTAAGATGGTTGTATGTTGTGATAATTACTTTACAGACTTTGCAACAAAAAAACTTTATATAAAACAGTTCAGTTTTTTTTTAAAAATGAGTCAGAATAACTTGAAAGTTGTCCAACATTTCATTAAAATCATTTCAAATTTCTCAAAATTAGTGTAAAATAGCTCACAAGTTGTTTAAAATGATATCAAAAGTGTCCAAAGACGTTGAAATGACTTTAAAAATCTACTCAGATTTGTCTAAAATGCCTCAAAATGTATGTCTTTAGATTTTGACAGCTGGAGCGCATGTAAAGAACAAAGGTTTGGTTGCAGTTTTTAATAGAATTTGAGTCAAAATGACGTGAAAGCGATTTGAAATTTACTTAAAACTGTCTTGATTGTCTCAAAATTAGTCAAATTACAAAAACCGGTTCAGAATGACTCACAAATTGTTAAAAATTATATTGAAACTGTCCAAAAATGTTGAAATGACTAAAAAAAGATTACTCAAATTTTTGCAAAATGTCTTGAAATTTGTCCACATTTTTTGTCTTTCGATGTTTAATTGTTGTTATTAACAGAACTCCTCCACCAGAAATGACCTGAAAGATGTTTAAATTAAATGAAAATTGTCCTACGATTTTCAAAATGTGGTCAAATTTGACTAAAATCTTTCTGAAATGATGTGAAAATTGTGAAAATATTCGCAATTTTTTGTTGAAATTGCAGAAATGTACAAAATGACTGAACAAAATGTCAAAACAGAACCTAAACATCTCGGTCCGTATTGTCCTTCGGTGCTGAGGTGGGAGTTCAGAAAGTAAAAGCTGATTCTGATGCGTCACTTCTTCAGCAGCGTTCTCAGTCGGAGCTGCAGTCGGTGGAGTTTTGTCGTCTTAGATTTGTGCGACATTTATTTGTAGAACTAGTGCGCTTGTATAATTTGGTTTATTTTTATTTTTTGTACTCATATCCCTCAAATGTTTACATAATTCCTGAGCTGATGTAATTTGCCCACTGTGGGGTTAATAAAATCTGATCTGATCTCATCCTGCAGACTCCAACATGCCGAAGGAGGCGGATCAGCGCGAGGGTGGAGGAGACAAGGAGGCGAAGGACGAGAGGAGGCAGGAAGCTTCTGAGGAGACGGTGAGGAAGAGGGTTCGGGCGAACACTCCGAGTCCCCACAGAGGAAACACCCCACAAGGTGAGCATCGCTTTAGTTACAACTACACGGACAGGTTCAGTCACATAAAAGGTCCATTTTGAAGCTTCCTTTTCATGGTTTTGCTCACGATAAACACCAAAGATTAAGACTCAAAAGATGATTAAAACTTGGTTGAATCTAAACCTTCGGACCTTTTCGATGATCCTCTGGCTTCATACGATCAATATTCTGTGAAATGCGAACAGCTCAGAGGTCAAAAGTCCTTTAGACTGTTTTCCTTCGTTGTGTCTGCTGCTGCTTGTCTTCTAACAGTAAACAGAAGCTGTGACCATATAACGCCAAAGGACTGGTTTTAGGATTTTATTGTGGCTCGTAAATGGATCAGCACCGTCGTATTCCTACATCTTAACACTCCACACGTTCTCTGGCACAAGACTTTCCATCGGGATTCATAAATCTTTTCTGGCTCATCTCGTCCGGTTAGAGGAACCAGATGCTGTAGCCGCTCAGCTCAGCAGCTCTTCGTTAACACGAACACGTGGGTTCAGACGAGAACACAAACAAACCGGGTCAGAGGAGAAGGAGCTGTTCTGGTGCAGGGAAAGTACCGGCTTCACGGGAACGCTCCTCCGGGGGTTTGGAGACAAACTCAAATTAACTCTTGTAATTCCCACCGCTGTCGATAAGCTGTGCTGTGGGGAAGAAAGCGCAAAGATTTTTTAATCGAGAGTCCTGTTGGGTTCCAGAAATGTGATGCTAGAAGCCTCAGAAGTTGGTGGAATTTCCAGCAAAGACTGTATTTTAGTAGAAAATATGGATCCATTTACACATATGTACACTGACAGGGACCTTCTATGGACACAGTCGCATCTTTGTTTAAAACGTGTGTGTTTTTTTCAGAAATTATTGGACAATTTTTAGTAAATTGGGACCATCTTTATGTAATTTTGATCAAATTTCGAGTCTTTTTGGACACATTTTAAGTAATTACATTCAAGCTGCTGGTCATCTTTATTGAAATGTGTGGATGTATGCATGTTTCATAATGTTAAAGGCCTCAACAGTTGGTGAAATGTCGACCAAAGACTCTATTTTTCGTAGGAAATCCGAATGCATCCATATTTAATATACCTACAGGAACCTTCTGGGGATCAATGGTGTACTTTTTTCGAAATTGTATGTTTATTTCCATTTTCAAGGGACAAAAAAAATAATAATAATATTGCCATTTGGGACATTTTTGAGTAATTTGGGACCATTTTATAAAGTTAAAGGCCTCAACAGTTGGTGAAATGTCAACCAAAGACTCTATTTTAGTAGGAAAATCCAAATTCATCCATATATATACACTGACAGGAACCTTCTGGAGGTCAATGCCAACCTTGTTTGATAAATTCAGCATTTTCTACTAATTTAAAGGTCAATAATTGAACATTAGACGTCTACTGGATCCATTCAATCATCTGGAAGCTATTCTTTCTGTGTCCTCATGACATTTAAAGATATTGAATCTTCTAGCTTTTAAAAAAAATCTCACAGACAATGTTTTATAGGACTCAGTTTTGAAGACAGCACAGCAACGTGTTTCCTGACTTCTGTCTAAGTAATTCTTCCGAACTCCCACATTATAACCAAAGAGATTAACAGTTAGCTCTGACTGGAGAAATATCATTTGATTATTCTCTCTCTGGTGTTTCCTAAATCTTGGCACAACGCTTCATGTGACAGAAGAGTGGAACATTGTGACTTCCTGTTCACGCTCGTAGCTTTAAACTGGATTAAACTGGATGCACGAGAACAGAGACTTGGACTGGAGGCGGGCGTGTTGAACAGAGAGCTTTGTGGAGACGCTGACGGCTGGATGAGGAGCAGATTAGTTCACCTGCCTGCACCACATTCACCTTAAATCCTCCTGGAAGTCGGAGATAATGCACCCAGCTAATGCAGCAGCAGATTGTTCCTCAAATAAAAGAAGACTTGCTTGTCATTTTGCTCCAATAAACGTGTTCTTCCTCACAGCCAGCCCGCCAAGGTTTGTGTCCGTGGAGGAGCTGATGGAGACGGCCAAAGGAGTCACCAACATGGCGCTAGCTCATGAAATCATGGTCAACCAGGCGTTCCAGGTCAAGCCCACAGAGCTCCCTGAAGGAAGGTGAGGGTTCGATCTGTAGCTTTGATCGATTCTTTTCCTGCCACAGAAGTGAGTTGATGTGTTTTGTCCCGGTGCAGCTTGGAGCGCAGGGTGAAGGAGATCATGCACAAAGCATTCTGGGATTGTTTGGAGGCTCAGCTGAAGGAGGAGCCGCCGTCGTACGACCACGCCATCAAACTCCTGGCTGAGATCAAAGAGGTGAGTGTCGGCATTCTTTACTTTGGTTTTGGTGGCGTGACGGTCGATCGGAAAGGTCTGGGATTGGTTCGTGTTGCAGCATCCATGCGACACTGCTAGCGTCGCGGCTACCATCAAGACGAGCAACAACTTGAACAGGAGAAGAAGAATCAGGATGCTCAGTGTTTTCCTCAACGAACATGAAGCTTTGCATCATGATTTCATCGCTGAGGTCAGACTGTCGATGAAGAGTTCTGAGCAATTTGTGAACAGCGTTATCAATCAATAACTGAGTAATGATCATAGCTGACATACCCTGACAGAGCTGTTTGAGTCCATCATCCAGTCAGCTGGACGGACGCTGTCCTCCAGCTCATCGTAGATGTGTCATGAACCGCCACCGACGTCGTTGTCATGGTGTCCGTTGCTAGCTAAACCCCCATGATGCTCTCTGCTGCCAACGTTCCCCTCTTTGGAAACATACAACAGTCTTCTATCTTATGAAACAGTGAGACACTCCCCCTGGTGGAACAAGTGGGTATTACAGCTGATCTACAGTACATTTCCTGACATGTACGACCTTGTCAGTTAAATTATTGTCAATCTGTGAAATTATTTACAATCATTAACATCCTGAGTACGGAGGCATCTGAGAGAGAACATTTGGCACAAACAACCTGAACTGTGACACGATGACGTTCGGATCCTGTCCGTCGGGTCACATCCTGGTGAGCACATAGTTTTTTGGTCACAACAACAGAATCGTCGATCTCCACCCGTCCTACTGACGAGATACGTCTCACCGTGACGTCTTCCTCTTCGACGAAGTCAAATCCAAGTTGAAACATTACCATTTTGACCAAGATAGGCGATTCAGAGCAGCGGTTCATGTGTTTACATCAGTGGTTCTCAAACTTTATGAGCCACGACCCCCAACATAACGTAAGTTTGTGTTTGTGACCCCCCGCTTAGAATTTTTAATATATCATGAGTAATAGCTGTGTTGTTTATGCATTAATGCGTTAAAAATCCATCCATCCATCCATTTTCTTCCACTTACCCGGGGTCGGTTTGTGGGGGCAGCAGGCGGAGCAGGTCGTCCCAGACTTCCCTCCTCCCGGCGATGCTTTCCAGCTCTTCCTGGGGGATCCCGAGGCGTTCCCAGGCCAGCCGAGAGATATAATCGCTGCAGCGTCCGCATTACTGCAGATGCCGCAGCTTCCCGTCATTCGTGAACAAGATCCTGTGATACTTAAACCCCCCCCCCAGAGGTGGCAATCCACTGATTTCCAGCAGAGGACCATGGCCTCAGACTTGGAGGTACTGATCCGCATCCCTGCTCCTTCGCACTCAGCTGCAAACTGCTCCAGTGCGTGCTGAAGGTCAGGGTCTGATGAAGCCAACAGTACCACGGCATCTGCAATAAGCAGAGACGAGATCCTGAGGTCCCCAAACCGGACACCCTCCTCACACTGACTGCACCTTGAGATCCTGTCCATGAAAACCACAAACAGGATCGGAGACAAGGGGCAGCCTTGGCGGAGTCCAACACCCACTGAGAACGTGTCCGACTTAATGCCGAGAACAGCTGTTGTGTTGTTGAGCATCAGAGTTTGTTGTGTTGCTGCTGCTTGTGTTGTTCATAGTGTGTTGATGAATGAAGACATGAAGCTGAACATGAAACGGCTTCAACCAGGAGTTTATGATCCAACCTGGTTGTTGTTTCTACAAGTTTTTAACTCTGATATTTGGAACAATTTACTGTAATTT